TTGAAAGAAAATTAACTTCCCCTTTTTCACATGGATTAAAGTAGAAGGTGCCTTGAATTGGTCCGACTCCCTTTTACAGCCTTTAAAAGCTAGGAGAACCACCAAGCCCTGCTGAGCGCATCTTGAAAAGCCAGCACTTACAGATCAGTAGTATATTCAGGAAGGTGACTGGGTAATCGGGTGAGTTTTTGGTTAGAGCAGTCTACAATCGTTCCCTCGCAGCGACACTTCTCAGGACAGACAAGGTCCATGAAACACTTCCCAGTGAATTTACTTCGGTAATCCTCTGAGCCTGCAATAAAAGGAAAATACATTCCAGCAAACACAGCAAAATATATTCCAGTTCCTGATAACTGCAGCAATCAGAGATTTTACGGAATCTATTCTCAACACTGCTTCCTGTCAGCTCCCAGCTCCTGCACACAATTTTAATACTTGCCAAAGATTTTTGTTCAGCAATTTTTCAAATTACTCCCAAGACTAGCTTCTGTTTTTTCACTCTTCCCTTGACAGATTAATTCCTTGTCTAACAAGCCTACCTGTTGAGGTATTTTTTGAAGTATGTCTAATTAGCTGTTGGAGTCTGCTTCAAATGAGCTCCAGCAAAGTCCCTTTTTCCCATTTGGAACTAGTCCAGCAACAAGGAAAAGGGATCTTGTGAAAGCAAGAGCTATCCTGGTGCATTCAAAAGACAAAAGATTTTTAAAGGTGTCATTAAAAAGCTCAAAATTTTCAGACCTCAGCTATCAGAATTATTTTTGACGGCAACCTTTTATGAGAGGACCTTGTCAATTTTCCAACAATTAGATACCTTTATTAACCATGTTAAACAAACAGCAAAGAGAAGTAATAGCAGTTTAAATCATTTTCATTTTAATTAAGGAATGGGTAGACCATACTTAGCGAGAAGCACTCCCTAATGTACCATTATACCGTGATTGCCAGACCTCTTTGACTAGGTTTTTGACCCGTTCTAATGAAGTGCTATTCCAATTAGGCTCAGTGAACTAATCTTCCTTTTCAGGGTTGTTTTTTCTCTTTTAATAACAGCAGGTTGGAAACTTGATCTCTGTGCTTCAAGGAACCAGGAGTATTAATAAATGTGTATGTAAGCAAAGTGTTGCCAAGACCCCACCATGCAATACCTCATGCCCACTCACTTCATATCTCATAATGGAAGCACATTGGAAGAATTGTATCAGGAACCTTGTGTAATGCCCAGTGATCGTAACTACCAAGAAGTATTTTTCAACTTTTCCAGAGTTTTAGAAGTAAATTGCAAGGCTTTCTTAGGAACGACCTGAGCAAGTTCAGTTTTTAAGAACCTGAAAACAGCCATACAAACTTAAACCTGAGCTGAAATTTGTTTTTAGAGACTTGATGACATTCATCACCCGCTTTCCCTTCCCTGACTGATAAATACACCACTGCTCATTTTATGACTGCATGCTATTTTCTGTAAGAAAAAAAAAAAGTCACCTACACCCACTATTATTTTAATTTATGTTACACATCATCTCCACAGGGTGATGCAGTGAAAGCAAGCAATTCTGCAGGCAATCTAACATTTTGATTCCACAGACACACTTCAGTTTAGTTTTCTAATTCTGAACTAGATTATGGGAAACATCACACACAGTTTTGTACGTTACTTGTGGTGCTAAATACTTTGCAGGTTATCATGCTTATTGTAAATTATACCTCTAAAGTGAGACTTTGCTACTGCTTTTTAGCTTGACAGCACGGCAATTAAAATATTAGGACCACAGGGCATTTTAAAGTATTATAAAAATACAGTCTAAGCCTTTCCCCACACCATCATCACTTAAATTCTTATCCTTCCAAAAAAAAATCCCCATTTGATTTCCAGTCCTAAAAATTCCAGGCTTGGTAGTCAAGCTAAAATGTCAAGCGATGAGCACATTATGGCTTGATTACAAGAACATACAGCTATTCTTTCTTACGGCTGTGAGACAGCACATTTGGTTGTTTATGATTCCTGGGAAATAATGCCAAAGATAAACAGTTATCAGGACCAGAGTTTATTAAAACTGCTACAATTACAATATGCCTTGAAAAACCCAGCAAAATTTTTCAGTGATCAGAGTGTCTTGGAAATCCCCAAATTAAGCCTTGAAGAAGCACTTCTAATTTTCACGATAAAAGCTTTCTTTGAAAGAATATTAACAAACATCATGAAGTTACACAGGGTAAAAATTTATTAAGTATAATTTTTAGTCCACTGATCGATACAAGATTCATCTTCCTATAGGAAAAAGGAAGGATGGGGAAGTAAGTGGAATGCTTTATGAAGGAGAAAAAGGGGTATAGAACATTAGCGGGTGAAAATCAGTTTTTGCTTTTCTCAAGCTTTCTGGCAAAGCAAATAAAGAATATTTACCACATTTTGACTTTGCAGTCTCTCTTCTTGATGGCATACAACTTCCCACACTGCATTAGCTATAAGAAGTTGATCTTGCCTGGGCAGCAGTCCACTGCCTCCATGCTTGCAACAGGGGAAAGCCCTCTCAGCTCAGCAGAACAGGAAGGGAACAATCGCCACCTTCGTACTCTCCTTTCTCCCTCTCTCTCTTTTTTTTTTTTTTCCTTCTAAATTAGTTTAAATAAAAGTTACCCAGGTAAGCACTGAGAGAAAAGTAATCAATAGCATGTATATGTTCAGCAAATACTCAGTCATCCGTTAGACTGTGAGAC